CTTGAAAAAAAAAAAAAAAAAAAAAACGAAAATACTCACAACTGGACCAATAAGCAACATCATGATAAAAGGAGAAAAGATTGAACTTGTCACAGATTTCCTTTTACTTAGATCCACCCGTGGTAGTAGCAGTCAGGAAATCAGATGTCTTATTGCACTGGGCAAATCTACTCCAAAAGACCTCTTTAAAGTGTTAACAAGATGTCGCTGTGAAGACTAAGGTGCACCTGACCCAAGCCATGGTATTTTCAATTGTCTGATATGCATGTGAAAGTTGGACAATGAATAAGGAAGACCACCGAAGAAGAGTTGAATTGTGGTGCTGGCAAAGAATAATGAAAATACCATGAATTGCCAGAAGAACCAACAAATCTCTCCTGGGAGAAGTGCAAGCAAATGCTCCCTGGAAGCAAGAAGAGCCAGACTTCGTTTCACCTACTTTGGTCATATTGTCATAAGGGATCAGTCCCTGGAGAAGGATACCATGCTTGGTAAAGTACAGGGTCAGCAAAAAAGGGGAATCCCTCAATGAGATGGACTGACATAGTGGCTCCTATGTTTGTGCCCATTATTTCAGTCACTGTGTCAATCCATCTCATTGAGAGTCTTCCTCTTTTCTGATGACCCTCTACTTTACCAAGTATGATGTCCTTCCCCAGAGACTTGTCCCTCCAGATCACATGTCCAAAGCACATGAGAAGTCTCTCCACCCATACTGCGATGGTAGGCTCAAGCATAGCAAGAATGTTGAGAATGGCGCGGGACTGGACACTGTTTCATTCTGTTGTCCACAAGGTCACTATGAGTTGGAGATGACTCAATGGCACTAACAACCACAACATATATAGGATCATGTCATCTGCAAATAAGGTTAAACATCTTTCTTTCCAGTATGGATAACTTTTCTTTCTGTGCTTTTTTTTCTTTTTGACTAACTGCTTTAGCCAGAATTTCTGGTGGAACATTGAACAGCAGTGATGAATGTCGGCATTTTTGTCTTATTACTGATCTTGGAGGAAAACATTCAGCCTATCATCAGTGAGCATGATCTTAGCTGTGGGTTTTTCATAAATGCCCTTTACTATATTGAAGAATTTCCCTTCTATTCCTAGTTTGTTGAGTGTGTTTTTTTTTTCATCGTGAAAGAGTATTGAATTCTGTCAAATTATTTTTCTGCATCAATTAAAATGATCATATGATTCTTTTCCATCATTCTATTAATATGATGTATTACACTGAATTTCTTATGTTGAACTCCTTACATAAATGCCACTTAATTATGGCACATAATCCTTTTAATATGCTATTAGATTGGTTTTCTAGTCGTTTGTTGAGAAATTCTGCATCTATATTCACAATGGATACTGGTGTGTAAATTTTCTTATGATATCTTTATCTGGCTTTAATGTTAGGCCTCATAATGAAGGAATTATCGTGGCAACAACGATGGGCTCGGATATAGCCGGGATTGTGGAGCTGGCACAGGACCCAGCAGTGTTTCGTTCTGCTGTACATGGGGTCGCTATGAGTCAGAGACCACTCGAGGGCACCTAACAACAACAACAATGAATGCATTAGTAAATGTTCCCTCCTCTTGCAGTTTTCAGAAGAGTTCAAAAAGGACTGGTGTTAATTCTTCTTTAAATGTTTTGTAGAATTCACCAGTGAACACATCTTGTCCTGGAATAATCTTTGTTGGGAGATTTTTTTAATTATTGTTTCAATTTCTTCACTGGTCATTCACCTGTTGAGACTCTCTCTTTCTTCCTGAATCAATCGGGTACTCTGTGTGTTTCTAGGAATTTTCCATTGCATCTAGTTTATCTAATGTATTGGCATACAAATGTTTCTAGTATTCTCTTATAATCCTTTTTTATTTCTATAAAGTCAATGGTAATATCCCCACTTTAATTTCTATTTTCAGTTATTTGTTGTTTCTCTTTCTTTCTTTGTGTAGCTAACATATGCCAATTTTGTTGATCTTTTCAGAGAACCAACTTTTAGTTCCACTGATTATACTGCTTTTCTATTCTCTATTTCATTTATCTATATTCTAATCTTTAGTCTTTCCATCCTTCAGGGAGCTTTGAGCTTAATTTGCGCTTCTTCTACTTTCTCAGGGACCATTTCCATTTTTAACACCACCTGCAGGCTAAAATCCTAACGGCCCTGTATTAATACACTAAAATAAGAAATAAGGAATTGCTCAATATTGAAGCACATGTCTACCTTCTCTACTCAATATAAAATATGGCATGCCAGAAATATTAGTACAGTTACCATTCTGTAACTTCTGAAATGTGTAATGGTCATAGTAATTTAACAGCACTTATCCATCAGTTTTGCGTGTGGCATAGTGCCTAAGGCATTTGACTGCTAACCAGAAGACTGGCAGTTCAAATCCACTAGCCACTCCAAGGAAGGAAGGTTGGGTGATCTACTTCCATAGAGATGGCAATGTATTTTTTTTTTTTATATGGCATGTCTTTGTAAATAAATCTAAAATGTTATGAAAAGTTCTCATTTCATTGATCCACCCTGATTTCATCAGTTTGATTTTGATTTCAATAATATCTTTGTAAATGTTTAGGCTGGAGGTTCAAACCCACCAGCCACTCCTCGGAAGGAAGGTTGGGCAATCTACTTCCGTAGTGATACTGCCTCAGAAACCCAAGGAGGGATTGGTATGAGTCAGATCCGATTCGATGGCAGTGAGTTTGGTTTTGGTTTTTGGTATGTAAATGTTTAAATAAATGAAATGCAAGATAACCTCAAATAAGACTGTCAAATTTGTCAGAAAACACTAAAATTTATCATTTTTTATCATTCAAAAAGAAGAAATTTTAAAACAAGTCACTCTCCAAATTCAGTAATTTTTTATCTAAAGCATTTCATTTTAAAAAACAAATATGCATACCTTAGTATCAAACCACAAGACTATCTATTGCATCTTGCATACCAATTTTTCCTCTTGAGTCTAGGCAACTATCCTCCTGAGATAAAGTGAGAAAGTAAAAGAAGAATAAAGAATACAAGACAAAGTAATGTACTTTATTGTAGGTTACCAGAGGTGATTAACTAATGAATGACAGCTTAAGAAGTTACTAATGAAATAATTAGAAAAAATCATAAAATCAATACCAGTTGTTGTCAAGTCAATTCTGACTCAGAGTGTAGAGAAGAGAGAAGAGTTTGGGGATCAGAAAGAGTTCAGGCAAGAATCTTAGAGTCTGTAAGCTTCATCTTCCTCATCTGCAAAAATGGAGACAATATCTACCTTGCAGGATTTAAAATGAGAAACAGGAAAGCACTAAGGATTCAATAGATGTTCCTTCCTTCCTGCAGCTATTCCTGAAAAAGGTGAGGCAGATCACAGTCTAACATTCCTGAGATGAATGACACATAAAAGACCCAAAGCACAATTATTTCTAATAAATTATGAAAATAAATAACCAAAAAACTATCATAACCAGCCTGGCATAAATGGAAAGTATATTAGACCAAGAGTCAGCAGACCTGAGTTCCAAACATTTGAAACTCTGGGTGTCAGTTCCCTTATTGGCAAAAAAATATCAGTACCATCTATTTATAAATAGGTTAAATAATGTACATGAATGCACGGTCCTCTCTTCAATACTTGTATAAACAGGAGACATTGTTGTTGCATTTCAAGGGGAGAAATAGCATATATCCTACATAACTTAAATGCTTATTATAATTTTCAATTTATCTAAGGATTACAGATAAAGTATCTTAAAATTAACTATCAAAAAGGAGAGGTAAATAAAGAAAATATTACATTCTTTCAAATACTCATTCAAGTAGGAATATCTAATAATAAATGTTTCAAGTATACCCAAGTATCATTTCAATTTGAGAATTCTTATGTGCTTATTACCTTTTTTCATCTCCCAGTTCTTCATTTTTCTGAGATTTTTCAGGACATTTTTCTTTTCCCTTACAAAACAGAAAGTTTTCATTTTAAATTGTATGGTCCTGTTTTGTGATATCAAGAACATATTATTAATATTTGTTTATTTTTTTTTACCTTAAGAAAAGATACAAATGATCCATTATGTACATCTCCTTCTTCAGGAACTATTACATCTTCTGTGTTGGGGTCAATAAAATCATACACCTCCTGGTCTAAGTACAGATTAATATTTATTAGAAAAGAAGTACAGTTGGCTATATGCTCTGACATAGTAATGCTCAGAATGAAAGTGTGTTTTCTTGATACAAGCTCTCTAAAGATACACTGTTTCTCAAGGCCCATTTTTAATTTAAAAAACCCATCTATAATGAGGGTTATATATATGAAAAAAATGGAAGACACCATATGCATTACCTTTCTGAGAATCAGGTTTACTTCCTATTGAATGACTGTCATTTCTTGATGTCTGCTCTTTATTTGATTCTGAGACTTGAGAGTGAAGGCTGATTGTGTCATCATCTGATGGCTGAAAGGAATAAGCACAAAGTACAAACAAGGCATCTTAAACATACAGTAATGGTTAAGTTGCTCTGATTTGACATATGAAGTACAAAATATTTGTTTTACATCTCCAATTTTGAAACCAAAAATAAGAGTCAAAGTTTACTATATGGCTTTAAAAATCTGCATGTCCTTTATTCAAGTCAAAATATATATTGACGCTATTTTAAAACAGAAGAAAAACTGAAATATGTGCATGTGTCTCTCTCTTAATTTCAAAGCCCTAGTAATTTTTTTTTTAAAAAAAGTATTGGCAATAGAAAAGACTCACTTCCGTTGTAGATAATCGTTTCTCTCCATTATCACTTCCAATTCCAGAGTCAGGACCATGGTTTTTATTAGGATAAAAATCTTCCATACTATGGAAACAGAAATTCTAAGGGCAGTTAGGGTTTTTTCTTAAAGCAATAATATTCAACTGACCTAAAATTGCTCTAGATAATACAGAATATATACTTTTGGTGTCTAAGATCCTTAAGGGGAAAAAAAAATTGAAGTTGAGTCAATTCTGACTCATGGTGACTCCATGTGTTACAGAGTATAACTGAACTCCATAGTGTTTTCATAGCTATAATCTCTATGGAAGCAAATCGCTAGGTCTTTTTTTCCCAGGCAGTGCTGATGGGTGGGTTTGAACTGCCAACCTTCCCATTAGTAGCCCAGTACAAACCATTTGTGCCACCCACAGCTAAGATCCATAAGAATACCAGGGGGAAAATATCCCAACACACTTTATTCAAGTCACTCAAAATATTTTTCCTCCATGTGCTCTGTTGTAAAGTGTCGATTATTAGCAATAACCTATTATTTGTCCTGAGAGACTCAGGAAAACAGACTATTAGAAAGTCACCTTGATAAAAGACTTTTCTATCTTCTCATTGATTTAGCAAATTTTGACTTAGAACACTAGAATGTTTTAAAACTTTAATTTATACAGTTTCTTTTTCTAAAAAGCTGCCTTAGTCTTATAAGTAATGCCCATCTAAAAACTAAGAAAAGGAGCTCTGGTGGCAAAGTGGTGAAGGTATCCAGCTGTTAACCAAAAGTTTGGTGGTTCAAACCTACTAGCCACTCTGCAGAAGAAAGATGAGGCAATCTGCTTTTGTAAAGATTTACACCCTCAGAAACCCTATGGGGCAGTTCTACTCTTTCTCATAGGGTCACTATAAGTCGGAAT